AAATATATTTTTTTATAATTACCTAATTTACATTAAAAAATATAAAAATTAACTTTTATTTTACGACTACCACATGTCACTAATTTTAATTAATTAATTAAACTAAAATTAATATTCACACTTTTTATAAAAATTAATTATAAAAAGTGTAATTAATATTATCTTAATATGTATGGTTAGAAAAATCTTTATTTTATTTACTCAAACCATTTTTTTTTTTTTTTGAAAAGAAGAATTAAAATGCGGATATTCAGACTTGGTGGGGTCCAGGTCAGTTGGGGATTGAGAGTGGTGGGCCTCACCTCCCCATAAGGAAAATCCGAACGTTAGAGGCAAAGAAAATCAGATTCTATTAATTAATTAATTACTTAATTAATTCGACACAAACAGCGGGAGACGCCGAAATTCGTGCACTCCTTCGTGCCTTAATGTCGAGCTTTTCGTGTGTATATATATATATATATTTTTTCTTTCCATTCCCATTGTCACCGGCTGCAGCCGTAAAGGTAAGGACAAACAATAAGTCCTCAAGCTTTTTCATTTTCTTCAGTTTCATCCCTCATAGTTTTTTTGTACCTCCATTATGTAAGTTAAAAAAGATTGGTGACAACAATAATTCTCATTCCTTGAGAACACCAAGGGGCAGGCAATGAGAAGGTGACTACAAAAATTTATGGGGAATTTTCTTAATCTTGATCCTAGCTAAATGTGGTAAAATTTGCAAAATTTATATTCTTTTCAATTCAAATTAGTTTTTACATCTCTCTAACCTTAAAGTTTGACCTACTTTAAAATATTTAGAGTTTTTTTTTTATTAGGGCAAGTGGGGAGTGGGGAAGGAGATTGAACCCTTGCCATGGTGAAGAAGACTTACATTAAACTGCTAGACCATTAGATCGGCAGGCCTTCAAAATATTTAGAATTTCTTATTTTACAATTTTAATCACATTGGATTGTAGAATAAGCATAATTAATGGGTGGGACAATCTCAATATAAAGGGATTTATACCATCTAATAGTTTAAGATCTTTAATTCAATGTAATTCAAAATGCATACTACAATTTTGAAATATTAAATAGGGTGGTGCTATTAAGATGACTTTTTTATATCACATTTTGATATAATTTTTATATGTCATTAAATAAGTGGATGCATTCAATATCACGAGTCTTACATGAATAAAAAAAATTAATTATTTAAATGACACATCATATTGTATCAAAAGGTAATAGAAAAAAGTTGTGTGAAAATAATTTTTTTATTAAATATTGTATTCTCTTTTTTTCCACAAATTTTTTATGCAATGTAAATATTAAGGATATAATTAAGAGAAGGTTAATAACATGTAGATATATTTTTTGTATGACTTTTCTTTACAACTTTCATACATTGTTAAATAAGATAATGGATACCATATCATGTGTCTTAGTAAAGTAAAACAAATCAATCATTAAATCAAATGTAATGTTATATGAACAAGTTAAATGAAGAATATGTTCAATTATTTTCCTTAAGACAAAATAAAAAATTTAATTTAAGTTTTCAAATTTGAAAAGAATTTACAGTGATTAGTCAAGATCTTCAAATATAAAAGTTCAGGGTTAACTTGATTTTACATAAAAGTTCAGCGGTTTACAACAGGGTTAACTTGTAACCGGTTAAGCCTGTAATCGGTGAGACTGACGCGTTTAATCAGCGTTTGACCGACCAATTTCTGCCAGTCAGGACGACGTGCACTGCATAATGCGCCTGTATCCAGCACTACACTGTTTCCTTAAACAGCCCAAGATGCTGCTAGAAGTATATGCAAACCTCCCCTTAGCCGTCCGACCTCTTGAATACCCTGTTTTCTCCCCGTAATTCTCTTCTTTTGTAAAATCGGCATAAAAGTCCCGTCTTTGTGTGCTTCATCCCCTGTTTCTCCTTCCTTTCAGTACAAAAAAAGAAGAGTTGCATATGGCCCCGTGGGTCTCTCTGTTTTTCATCTACCTTGCTCTGTTATCAGGCCTCTGTTTCGCAGCTGACCCATTTGTCTTCTATGATTTCAAAGTCTCTTACATTACCGCCTCCCCGCTGGGTGTTCCTCAACAGGTACAGTTCAAAAGACTGTTATTTTTTATTTTTTATTTTTGGTTCCAGTTTCTCTACTATGTAGATTTGAATTTCATGGCTTTCTTGAAATCTACCCATGAATCTTGGTTCAGACAAGTAATCTTTTACTATGGGATTTCTTGTTTTTATCGCATCTTATGAAGTCTTGTGCCTTTTTCATTTTTGTGGAGTGGGATACTGATACAGCAGCTGAATTTGGTTCTAGTCACATGTTATCTATCTGGGTTTTTGTTATTCTTTCACTTGGTTTTGTATTTGAATATGCAAGTGAGATTTAGTACTAACGAACTAGACTCAGTTCCAAGCATGTTGTTGTTTATACCTTCAATCCTTTCCCAAATTCCTCCCCAACCTGTGTCAAGGGTCGAACTTGGGACCTCTTTATTCTACAACTTGGTGCCTCAACGCTTACCAGTAGTGGTGGCTTACCTTGAATATGGGTGCCCTGTCTAATGGTTCTGTTCCTGTGATTTTTCTCCTTTTTGATTGACTGTAATCTGGATTTCAGTTTATTGTAGTCCTTTTCCTCTCTATTGTTGACACATGCATATGTCTTATGTTAGGATCCGGCTTTTATTCTGCAAAATTTGTCACATTGAAACTGGGATGTGGAATTTTTGAAAGGAAGGATTCAGAATTATGTTAATTTTATAACTTTTGATTGTAGGTTATAGCAATTAATGGGAACTTTCCTGGTCCTCCTATCAATGCCACCACGAATAACAATGTAGTTGTTAATGTAAAGAATGAATTAGATGAAAATCTTCTGCTGACTTGGTAAGTTTTGACATGACATACTTCTTTGTGTTTTACTTCCTTCTCCATGTTGAATTTTATATAATGGATTGCTTTGGAAGAGATCTCTGATGAGGGTTTTGCAGGCCTGGAATCCAAATGAGGCGAGATTCATGGGAGGATGGTGTTCTTGGTACAAATTGTCCAATTCCTCCAAAATGGAATTATACTTACCAGTTTCAAGTTAAGGATCAAATTGGAAGCTTTTTCTACTTCCCATCTCTCAATTTTCAAAGAGCATCCGGTGGCTTTGGTCCGTTTATATTAAACAACCGCGACATTATCGCCATTCCTTTTCCAAAGCCCGATGGTGATATTGTAATCTTGATTGGCGACTGGTATACCCGAAACCATACGGTTAGTATTTCTGTTTAAGTGTCATTGACTCACTATTTGATTTTTCTTGTAAACAGTGAATGTCTCATGTTTGGAACACTCTTCTTTTAGGCATTGAGAGCAGACCTTGACTCTGGAAAAGACCTTGGGATGCCAGATGGCGTTCTTATCAATGGGAAGGGGCCTTACAGATACAACACCACTTTAGTTCCTGATGGCATTAAATATGAAAGTATTCAAGTGGATCCAGGTATATATATTTGTTGATCATGGTTGTAATATGTTCAACAATGTTATGTTGTTACATGCATAGAAGCTTTCTTATTTTTCTTATTGTTGGTCAGCTGATTGCTTGATTTCATATCTGGTGTCTGAACTTTTGGTGATAATTGAAACTGTTCACTTTTTCTCATCTTTGAGGTTCATGAAAGAATGTAATAGGATTTTACTTGTTTGAAATCTCAATTGGTAATGGCAATGTATACGTGCAGGTAAAACTTACAGAGTTCGTGTGCACAATGTTGGAATATCTACTAGTTTAAACTTCAGAATTCAGAACCATACCATGCTCTTGGTTGAAACTGAGGGATATTATACCATACAGCAAAATTTTAGCACTTTTGATATTCATGTTGGGCAGTCTTATTCCTTTTTAGTTACAATGAATCAGAATATAAGTTCTGATTTCTACATTGTGGCAAGTGCAAGGTTTGTGAATGAATCAGTTTGGCAAAGAGTTACAGGTGTTGCTATCTTGCATTATTCCGATTCTACAAGGCCGGCAAGCGGACCTCTGCCTGATGTGTCTGCTGACATTTACAATTCCTGGTCAGCAATGACCCAGCCGAGGTCTATCAAGTAGGCAGTCTAACTTCTAGAGCTTGGTTCATGGAATCACAATCTGTTTCTTTCATCATCTTCTTCTTCTTTTTAATTGCAACTCTTTTCCAAGTCTTTTTCCCCATAAAAGTTGCAAGATTATGCATTGATGTAGACAAACAGAGAAGCAGGCATATTTCCCCCTGTTTGCACTTATTTTAAACTCAGTTAATGTTACTGAATCATACCGTCTTGATTGATTAGGGTAAACACAACTGCAAGTGGAGCACGGCCTAATCCACAGGGTTCTTATCATTATGGTCAAATTAATGTGACGGACACATATATCTTACAGAGCTTGCCTCCAGTCAGCATAGATGGGAAATTTCGCACTACTTTTAATGGCATCTCATTTGTCAATCCTGACACACCAATTAGGCTTGCTGACCAGCATAATGTAAAGGGAGCATATAAGCTGGATTTCCCCACAAAGCCACTTAATAGAACTCCTCGGGTAGATACATCTGTGATTAATGCTACATACAAGGGATTCATAGAAGTGATATTGCAGAACAATGACACCAAATTGCAGAGCTTTCACATGGATGGTTATTCATTTTGGGTTGTTGGGTAAGAATCTCCTTCATTGCTTTCAAACGCTGAGCTTTTCATGGTTATTATTTAAAATAATGGTGTGCTCAAATTATGCAGGATGGACTTTGGTAACTGGACAGAAAGTGACAGGAGTAGTTATAATAAGTGGGACGCAATATCTCGCTCCACGGTAGAGGTTTGTTATTCTAACAAAAACTTTTTCTACGGTAGACAAAATAGGCAAATGTACGAAGGCAAAAAGTTTGATGCTTATAAGTTTTTAAAAAGTTTGGCTTTACCTTTTAGGTTTACCCTGGAGGATGGACTGCAATCCTTGCCTCTCTAGATAATGTTGGGGTTTGGAATCTAAGAGCAGAAAACCTGGACAGATGGTACCTAGGCCAAGAAACATACATGAGAATAATCAATCCTGAGGAGAATGGTGACACAGAATTTGCTGCCCCCAATAATGTTCTTTTTTGTGGTGCCCTTAAGAGTCTGCAGAAGTAAGTCATAGCCTCATTGTAAAAATTCACTTTTCCCCTACCAGTGTGTTACTCACAGATATATTTTTTCATCTTAGGGATCAACCTTCTGCTGCAATTTCAAATCTTGGTGGAAGGTTCAAGGTTTTCTTCACTCTGATTGTGGGACTTTTTGCTTCCATTTTTACTTTAAGCTAAGTATTTCTGCTGTTTAGTGGAAATCTCATAATCTGATGACAACTTCTCTGCCCATTCTGTTGTAATAGGACTTTGTTTTGTTTTGTTTTGTTTTTTGTTTTTTTCTTTTTTGGGTTATTTACAGTAGATAGATATGCAAATTGATTATTCTTACGGTACAAATTCTTTAGGTATTAAAAATCTTTATTTCTTTTTATTTTTGTGGGTGCTGTTGCCTATCATTTGGGGAGAATTCGTTCTTTTTGTACTTTAAAATACTTCATACTGATGATGCTTAACCAATTCTCATGCCATTGCTCTTCACCCTTGAATTCTTGATTCCTAATCTGATTTATCCATCAGTAGCATTAGCATTGGTGAGGGAGAAGGCTAAAACAAAGTTTCCAGGACCTAAACGTTGAAGGTCATTTCTATTTATTCAAGATAAATTAATTTAAAGAGGGCCTAAATTCTTAAGTTTTGTCTTCTGAGAACAAGATAAGGACCAACCCTTTCTGGCTTGCCTGTATGGTAACTATCATCATAATATAAAGAAGCTAGGGTTATTTTTCACATGCAATGCATGTTGGGTTAAACTAGGCTTTAGAAATTGACTAGAGACAACAATAATGATTAGTAGCATAAAGAATGTTGGTGGGGTAAACATTTGGAAAGCTTTGGACAAAAATATGATGTGAATACATGAAACATAATATATAGCAGGCACATGGATTTTGTTCCAGGTACTGTTGCCTAAATCATGTTATCTTCCTTCACAAACAAAGCATATATATATATATATTAATAAAACCCTAATTATACATTCACTCATTCCCATGTTCCCCTTTGACTTTGCAAATAGATCTCTGTTTTGTTTAATTTCAAGGAGGCACAAGCCCGAATTAGAAGAAATTAAGAAGGTACAAACGTCAACTTTTCCACCTAGGATTCCCTGTTCTTTAGTTGACTACCTCATTTTCTTTCTTTGATTGCTTTCATGCGTGAGATGTGGGTAAGAAGAACATGCAGAACAATTGAGTATGTATTGTCCTTTAGAGAAAAATTCATTACATCTTGAAAGGGATTGATTCCTAAATTACTCTGAGAATTATATTTCCGAGCCTTGATTTCTTCATGTCTCACTATATAATGCAAGCAAAAATTTTCAATGCTCGACACCCTTCTAGGATTTTCGACTGCAAAACCTTTGTGTTTTTCCGCAGAACATATCTTCTTTAAGTCCATATATAGCATCTAGTTCTCCATACATTTGCTGCCTCTTCTTCTACAATCTCTGAGCTAGAGGGTGAACTAGATTTGCATCTAAGGTAGGTTCTGATGCTTTATTAGTTCTATTAGTTCTCGGTTGATGAGATTTGCTGTTTGCGATTCTTATATACATATGGATGGACGCTTTATCGTTCTTTGCAGGCCGAAAATGTAATAGCATTCCATCTTCTCACCCTTTCCTCTTCTTCTTTTGCAATTCTTATATACATATGGTGGTTGCCTGCAGCTTGGTCTTTGAACTGTATCAATGTGCATCTCAGCATGTTGCTTCCCCCTTGATAGGTAGATATAGAATCTATAATATTATCCTATAGAAGGCATTCAAGAAAATATGTCTTGTGCTGGTGCTCTACCAGCCTTGTTGGCACTGATTAAATATTCTTGAGTGCCTTCTAAGCTTGAAAAGTAAAAACATGCATACATATACATATTCGATTGCCAAACTTTGCAGTAAAGCATTCATGCCTCATTAGTTTATGTTCTTTTGTGTTGGCACTAATTGGGCAAATATATTTTCGGTTTACATTTGAATTTCTTAAAAAAAAAAAATTCAGTCGAGTCTAGCTAACTTTTGATCGGGGCAACCTTAATGATTGAATTTACTTGTAAACAAATGTCATTTTAGGTGAGGTCTAGAATTTAAATAGCATTGACACTCAAGGCAATTTAATTTTTTTGAATGCATCAGACCAATGTGGGATGTACTGTTAAGATCAAGAGATTAATATTAAAATGTGCATGTTAATTGAAAATTAAAAAAGGCATAGGAGGCTAGGTGCCATAACCATCCTCTATAGATTTTGTTTTTTGGTTACATCAAATGATAAATTATACAATAAAAAATAACTCTCATTTCTTTAATTTCTTCCTACTTGTTTCAATATTGAACTTGAAATTTTCAAATTGAAGTTTCAAGTTTTTAACTACTTTAACTATTAGGAGAACCGTATGTCCTATATAGCTTTTCTAATTATAGATTAATCAAACATTATTACATTAATGAAAATTTGAAAATACATCTATCAACCTCATCCGGTTGATTAATTACATACAAAATGCCACCCAGCTTTAGTAATAAAGAAGTCTTTAATTACACGAAAAACCAATGCTTCAATTTCTTCCTCACAAACAATATATTCATCTTCCAAAAAATATGATTTTTCATTTTTTTTCCTTGACTTTTTAAAGCATTATCTTTAAAACTATAGTCTAGGGTTAAAGGTTATAATATATTTATTTTATTATGTACAGAAATTTAAATCATAAATTTTTGCCTCTATTTGAAACTGATTAATATTGATATGTCATATATATAGCTTATTCATTAATCAGGTGTCTTCCGAAGATTTCAGACATTGACGTCGTCGTGGCATTTCCCGGCTGTCTGCGGGCAAGTGAACTTGTCTGCTCTGCTGATTATTAAAGCACTACATATCTTCCTTAGAGACATCCCCTTGACTTAGTTGAGAAGCCACAAACTTATCCAAAACCCGCCAATCAGTCATCTGATCCACTCCTTGCTCATTGCTTCCATCAACATATATTGCATTCAAGTGTTCTTCCTGTGTGAGGGATGAGGACTGTAATGTGCTTGCATTATTCATGTCAAGTCCATAGGCTGCCATGGAAGTGCAGCTTGTAGCTGGCTGCTGCAATTTCGGGCTCTCTAGCAGCGGAAGATGGAAGTAGCGCTCTTGGGGATGGAGTTGATACTGCAAATCCAGCTCTTTTTTGCAGGAATATGGATAAGCCAGATTCGGGTTGGAAGATTGCTTAGGTGAGTCAAGATCTGGCATGAAGGAGTGATCATCATACCAACATGCCGATTCATGATCGTTCAGTTTGCGCACTGTTGTTATTCTCTTTTTGAAAACCCTACACACCACCCATCCTTCTTCCTGCTTCAATCAGTTAGGCAACAACTTACAAGTTATATAGCCATTGGAAAAGGAGAATAAGTAATCAATGACAACTCAAACACTAAGACTGCTTAATTTGAATGGCTTTGATACCATAGTAAGAATTGCTTCATTAAAAGATTTAATTAAATTGTCAAGAGAGCAAGAATCAAGATTTGAACAAAAAAACTGTATAATTTAAAAAGTTCAAATACTATATTAAGAACTGTTTTATTTAAAAGTTTAAATTGTTAAATTTGCATGAGTATTTTGTACATTATATATATATATATATTTAGATGAATCAAATATATATATATATATATATTAACTTGATTAAGGACTTGCCTGAGAATTTCCATTTTCATCTGATTCAAGGCGGTATTCGTGCATGATCCAATCTGATTTTTGTCCATTTGGGGCTCGACCTTTGTAAAAGACTAGGGTTTTTCTCATCCCAATCAATTCATGCTTAGAGTAGATGGCCTTGTCTCTTCCTGTTGCTTTCCAGAATCCAGCAGTAGTAGCTCTATTTGTGCGAGTTCCTGTTGGATACTTCTTGTCTTTGTGGCTGAAGAAGTACCATTCATTTTGCTCTTCTGTCCCTATTTTGCATATCTCTGTAATTCAGAATTTAAAAGGTACAATACATATACTTATTAGTGATAAGTAATTGGCATAATTAGTTAGGAACTAATAATTTTCTGAAGTTCTCATTGTGGCATAAATACCTTGAAGATCCCAGGGTTCAATTTTGTAGAGATCAACATCTTTGATGACATCAATGTCAATCCTTCTAGCTGTAACCTTCTTCCTTAGGTAATAATCGACGAGTTCTTCGTCAGTGGGATGGAAGCGAAACCCAGGAGGAACTACTGCAAATGTATTGATCATTTTCTCCCTACCTAGTATTTAAAATCCTGCGATGGTGCAAAACCAATTGGTACTAAGACTATAAATAATGCAAACTGTTCTCTTTTTAAGCTCTGAGGAATTAATACACATATGACTACACATGCATATATACCCTTAGTTATAGTGCGTAAGACAGACTTTCAGAAATCAACTAGTGTTTTTGCCTGTAAAAACTGTGTGTATCGTAATATAATGAGTTCTGTCAACATTCTTGTGTGTATCGTAATATAATGAGTTCTTTCAAAATTCTTTTTTTTTTTTTTTGGATGAAACATGGGGTCTTTTTTTTCTTACTAAGACTTATTCTTAGTTGAACCATAGGATATTCTTTTTATATCAGTCATCTAAAAGTTTATAGACATCCATTGTCAAAAAAGTGGGATGCAATAATGAAAAATTCAAGTAGTTGAAACTAAAAGGAAAGAAAACTGGTTATTTTTCTTTAGTTTTCTTCAAAACAAATCATCCTTCCTAACCATAATCGCATGGAAAATAGCAAAATTATTTCTACCTTAACTATAACATGAATATGTATAAACACTCTAATAAATTTGATGGCTATATATACATGTAATTAATTTACCCGTTGTACCCACAATCATGGTGAGTTAGATGTTATATATGTTGCAAAGATCAAATCTAGAACCAAAGTGAACTTCGCCTAACATATAATTAATTAGATTGATTAATTCATATACGGATATAGATAGCAAAAAAAAAAAAAAAACTACTTAACCATCACTTGAGTTGTTAATATATATTAACTTTAAAATCACAATTTTTGATTTAATATCAATTCAATTGTTCAAGCCTATCATCAATAAATTAAGGTTAGCTAGTAGTAGTATGCAGAGCGGTTGATAATTAATTAACCAAGACAAATACATAAAAATATTAACCAAGATCACAGAGAAAGAGAAGAAGAAGCTCACAATCACAAATCAAGCAACCAAGATCTATAGCTATAGCGCCCAATTCTGCAATCCACAGAAAATCGACCTTGGATTTGATTGAATCTTTCCCCAAGGAGATGCTAAAACAGTTTTAGACTTCTGTGCTGTCAGTTGTACTTCAACTGATTCTTCCCAAATTAGACAAGGAGACAAGACAGAGGACACAAGTACATCCAAAATAGTAACACCTCCTCGGGAATTGAACCCAACTGGTTGTTGGATTTGATCCCGATGATAAAGAAGAAGAAAAAGAAAGAAAGATCTAAAAAAAAGGGAAAGGGCTTGGAGGAATTGAAGAATGGAGGGGGGCTAGGGTTAAATAGGAGAAACAAAATGGAAAGAGAGAGAGAAAGAAAAAAACCCTAAATAATGATCATGAAGCTAATGTAATTTCATCATCATAAGCTTTCATTGTCTTTGAGCTGAATTGGTGCAAAAGCTTTAGGGCGGGAAAAAGGGGTGGCGCAATTTCTAACTGCAACTGATAGAGATTGTCAGGGAAGAGAGATATCTGTTTTTAAGGTCTTCGTTTGGATGGGAGAGAAAATGTGGGAAAGAGAGAGAAAGCGAAGGGAACAGAGACGATTGAGGTGAGGGAAAAGTAACCCTGGCACAGACAGACCAATCTAAAAAGGGAGATGAAAGTGTTGACGTAATGGAGCAGCCACCCAGCCCCAAAAGTCGAGGGGTGGCCCCTTGGCGAGCCCCAACTCCATTTCTAGTCCCTACCATTTCTTTTCTCCCTTCAAGTCTTAACTGTAAATGTAATATATAAAATCACAATGATGGCGTTTAGGGTGACCCCAAGATGGATGCTCCATGAAATTTGATTAGTTATTTATTTAGTTATTTATTTTATCTCCCAAAGTTTAGTTGAGGGAAAGTGGTCGGAAAATTTTGCTTCAAGTGTGTCTTACAATTTGTTAATTTGTTTGGATAGTTTTATGGTAATATGGGAAAGTTAAGTGGTTATTATTGGCCAACAATTTAATAGATTCAGTGTACATAATAATATTCTTTAATAAAAGATAAAATAATTAAGTTTAGATTATAAAACATAAAAATGGTGTGAATTAAAGAAAAAAAAGTGGTCATTGCTTATCCAAAAAAAAAAAGTCAGTCTTTTTTTTTTGACAAAACTTGATAAGAAAATTAAAGTGAAATGTCAAGACTCAACCAAATATGAGAAAATTATTAAAATGGCAAAACTTTGATAAGGAAAGTGAAATGTTGTAACTTTTTATTTATTTGTTTAATGCATTAGAGCTATTTTGAGACTTATGAAATAAGACTGTGTATATTAACACCTTTCTGTTAGCTTTTGATTTGGCTAACTAGGGTGCATAGCTTTTGTCTCCATTTTCATTATTGTTATTAATTATTTTGAGGGCGATGAAATTTATGGTACTACATCTATCATGTGGGCGATATAACTTTTGCTTGATATAAGCACATTATGAAACTAGAATTATTTTCGTGGAATAAATAGTTAACAACTTAGCTTCCATTCAGTACTCATGTTGTTTATAATCTTTTATTTTGTATGTAAAAAATTTAACCATACTAAATTAAAAACTAATAAATTTAGGCTCCATTTAATATAATTTTAATTTTAAATTTTGAGTGTTTTATTTTTTAAAATATTTAGTAATTATTATTATATTTAAAAATTAAATTTTATTACAAAAATTAAAAATTATTAAATTTAATATAAATATAGTACTAATTAGTAAGTATATAAAAAATAAAAATTAAAAACTAAAACTATACTAAATGTTGTCTTAATAATTAAATGAAGCCACTTAATAATATTGTTGTTTTAAACATTTTTGGGATATAACAAATATTGACATCTTACCTAAAGTCGATCAACAAAAATTATCCATCACGGTCATAATCTTATACAACTCTTATCATTATGTATGACATCAAAAACATTATTTAACGTATAGGTAATATGCTCGTGACCGATACGTTTTCGACCCACTTTGCCTATGATTATGTTACACCTTTTTTTTTGTTTAATTTAATTAGGAAAATTTTAGGTCAATTTACAAAAGTTTTAAAATTAATTATTTTTAAATGATTTTTAAAGTTACACTTCTATACATTAATTTAGTATATTTTAAAAAAATTCCATTATGTATAAGATGATATTTATTTAGTATGAATTTAACTTTTATAATATATTTGAATTGAGAGAAATTGAAGAGAAAAAAGAAAAATTTTATCCTTGCATTCTTTTCATTTAATTAAATTAATTAATCAATTAAAATAAAAAAAATTTCTTCTTTCCTTTCATTTTTTTAATAATTAAATGAAAAAATTTCTTCTTACTTCTCTTTCATCCCCGCTATTACTCTCAATCTTAATATACTGTTAAAGTCGGCACTATCTTTTTAATAATAATAATAATTATTATTATTATTATTGCAGTACATATTTAATTATGTATGCTGCATCATTACGGAGCTGAAGCCCCGTTTCAACAGCTTCCTAGTTCCTAGTCTGGTCCAGTAGTCAGTAGTCAGTACCCTCCCGTCCGGACTCTGGAGGGATATTATAGGAAATCTATCAGATAATAACACCAACCTAATCAACGGCAAGTCCGCAACGGTGCAAACGTGGCCCGTTTCGTTGGTCTTTTTTTTTTTTCTTAACATGGAGGATTTAGAGGATAAAAATATTTGTTTTCAAATTATTGACGGGAATTGAACCCTTAATTAATTATATTTAAGTATTTATAACTTAAGATAAATTATTAGATCCGAAACTCAAATTTATTGATCTATTTCTTTTGAAAAAAAAAGAAAAAAAAATCATACATGTCTCTGTTACATTATGTGACTTCCAACCAGTGGGTCCAACACGAAGGACAGTCCGTCCGAATAATTATAATACTTTACAATATATTAACAATATATTAATTTAAATAAAAAACTTAATTTTTATTGAATAAAATTTTAAAATTAATTTTTATAAATAAAAAAATAAGTGCTCAAATAATTTTTATTAATGACTTAGAGATATTAAGAGTTTAGTAAAAAGATATTTTATAATATTATAAACTTA